GATGAACGAAACCAGGTATCTTTGGAAAGCATGTAGAATTCTTTCTTTTAGTATCTTCTAATCAGAAATATTAAAATGTACGTTATATTTATATACCATAAGATAAACGTTCCTAACCAAATTACCTATAAAGTTAGGAGTTAAATATTTTTATTTTCTTAGAATATGATTTTGATTTTCTTTAAGTTAAAATTACAATTTATGACTATTTATGTTGTATAAGTGACATCTTACCTACACTGTTTTTATTGTTGTTTGAATGATAGTTAAAAAAAGGAATATTAGAAAGTATGAAAGTAAGTACCTGTATACGTAACTATTTTAAAATAAATGTTTTTGTTTTTTTATTAGAAAGTGATTTTTTTTTTATTAAAATGTTAAAATTTACATGTATGTAGTTTTTATGCCCATCATAAATAATTTCTAAATATGTTCAAGAATGTGTCTTAGTTTCAAAAATAAGAATATACAAATTTAATTAAATGTATAATGTGGCTTAAATTGACAATATCAATAGTGATTTAAATACTTATTTTTCTCTATTAACCCACCCCTAGTTAGATTAGTCAGTGTATTGTCAATACCTTAACTCACTTAAAAAAAAGTTATGTTATATAATAAGAGGATAACCCAAAAATAAGGTCTCCTATTTTTTAAAAACGACGTACGATTACACGAGCTAAAAAAAGGTATTCACCTCTCCCTGAAGTCCAATTAAGTATTTTATTCTCAGACTAAAAAAAGTCTAATGATGTGTTCTTCCAATTCGTCAATGAACAACTAAACTATGGGATAAAACATCGATTTATTTTAAAATTATTTTTTTACGTTCACGTTTCCTTAAGATTATTTCCAAATCGGGCCCCCGGGGGCAAACCAGTAGTCGGCGCCTATGAAGATAGCTGAAAATTGTCATATACAAGGAACGAAAATGGTTTGGAAACTAAAAGAATCAGAAAAAGAAGAATGATAAGAAAATATAATGAATATACTAGCTGACCCGATCTCGCTTCGCTGGAATTTCTCAAATCACAATAATTATTAAAAGTTTTTATAAATTTTTACTAATTTAATTTTTATTAATTTTGATAAATTTTTATTAATTTTTATTACTTTTTATTAATTTTTATTTATCAATTATTTATCGATTTTTATCGAGTTTTATCGATTTTTTTTAGGGTTTTTTTTATGGATTTTTATCGATATTTGTCGATTTTATCGATTTTTATCGATTTTTATCAATTTTTAATAATTTTTATTAATTTTTATTATTTTTTATTAATTTTTATTAAATGTTAATAATTTTTATTAATTTGTATTACTTTTTATTAATGTTTATTAAATTTTATTAATTTTTTATTCATATTTATTTTTATTTATCTTTATTTATTTTTATTTATTTTTATTTATTTTTATTTATTTTTATTTATTTTTATTTATTTTTATTTATTTTTATTTATTTTTATTTATTTTTATTTATTTTTATTTATTTTTATTTATTTTTATTTATTTTTATTTATTTTTATTTATTTTTATTTATTTTTATTTATATTTATTTAATTTTACGATACTCTCTATTTCTCCCCTCCATAAAATGTGAAAATCCAAAACCCTGAAACATTGCTATTTATTTATGATGAGTACCTACAATAACAATTTTCAAGTTCCTACCTTTAAAAAAATCTATACCCCATAAAAACTTTCATCTTCCCCTTTTTCCCTTTCCCCGTTTAAAATATAAAAATCAAAAAAAACCCTAAAACACGTTATTATGTATTTGTAATGAGTAGCTACAATTACAATTTTCATGTTCCTACCTTAAAAAAAACGATACTACCCTACAAACTTCCACCCCACGTCCCCCCCCCCCTCCTCCCTCTTCAAATGTGAAAATTCAAAAACCCTGAAACACATCATTATATATTTATGTTCAATAGCTGTATTTTAAATTTCTCTGTGAAAAACAAATACAAATTTATCCCACGGGAACCGTACATTTTCCTGGATAGCCTATGTGCTATTCCAGACTTTAATCTCTGTGCCAAATTTTATCCCGATTCGTTCAGCCGTTCTGGCGTGATTGAGCTACAACCATCTATCCATCCATACATCCAAACTTTCGCATTTATATATTTGTAAGATTGATAAAAATTTTATTCATAAAAAAATACAGAAGCAAAAAAATGCGGGTCCAAAGATGAGGAAACAGTGAAAAATAATAATGGTTAATGGATAAGAATCAAAACACAAAAAAAAAGGATAAATAATCTAATAAGAACATAAAAATTGTTGGGTACCTACAGAGAATTACAAAAATAAAAATATCAGAAACGGTATCATCTTATCAAGGTGTTATGTATACGTATATGAAAAAAGTGGATAATCTTAGAAGCGATATTTTACAAAAACAAATAGTTGTAATTTATCATATTCATAGAAAGCTCTGAAGAACATCAATGCCTAAAGAATATACCACCTACACATAGACAAGTAAAAGAGGTTACAGGCAAATGAAAAAAACAATAAAGTAGGTGCTGAGTTAACGTACTTTAGAAAAGTTTAAATGTAGATGCAAGGAATTCGACAAGGAGTTAAGGAACTGGTGTGATAATACATAAAAAAAATAAAGAACACAGATTAATAACTATTTTAATGGCGCTGAATCTTATCCTTTACAATCCACACTAAGAAAACCCTCCAGGTTTTGTTAAAGGCTAATAGTACAATTAAAATTAGTTTTTAATTTCAAAACATTAATCAAGGGTAATATACCAAGACCTTGATAACAGTTAGCTATTTTTGTTGAATCTAAATCTCGAAAATATTTTAATATTAATATTAATTTGATGATACATAATTTTTGGTATTAATAATCTGATTAGAGCCCGAGAGCTTTAGCTCGAGGGCTTTAATCAATTGATTATTAATGCCAAAATTATGTAGAAACAAATTGTAAAATGTTTGAGAAATTTAGCAAAAACAAAAATAGCAGAATATTAATCAAGGTCATGTTATATTTGGGACGACTATTTCACTAGACCAAATATTGACTATTTCTCTAGAGAAATAGTAGCTGATATTTGGTCTAGGGAGATAGTCAATAAAAAAATATAAGTAAGGCTGCAGAGAGCATTAAAACTAAACATAGTAACTTACATATGTATGGTTAAAAATTTTTGAAAACTATGTTAAAAAAGTTGATTAAAAAATCTTGAAAACACAAAAAAATATGATATAATATATAATAATAAATAAGGACGTAAAGTGGATCAATGTTTAGAGTCTGGACTTTCAGATTAATGAGGATTTTGAATATACAGGTCAGATCCCCACTCCACCATTTAGTTCTAATAAAATTAACAGCCATGTTCCTATAAAATAGCGATAGAACAACAGATGAAGTCACAGAAAATGAAAAAAAAAAGTTTTATAATATATACACAAAAAAAATGAACAACAAATTATAATAAACAGAAATAACAATAGGTCAAGTAGTAGGTATTACTCAGTATAATACTGTTCGTAGTGTGACCATAAAAAAATATACAATATAAATAAAAATACAAAAAAAATTCAGTTACATATCGACCAGCATTGATGAACCCTGTCACTAAAAGTTTACTTAGTTACAATTTATTCATTTAAAATAAATTATCTTAATTTTAGGATATTGCAGATATAAGATATACCTTGTATTAGGTTCGGTTACATTTTCTAATGCAAAAATTAAAGCCCCCAGATCTTTTAAACAATTTGATTTCGGTTTCAAACATTAGAAATTGGACAATCGAACAAGATATATGTAAGAGATTCATTTAGATTTATGTTACATACCATACAAACATTATTAGGATCTATTACATATATATTATTAAGTGTAAATTTTAATCGAAATTTATTAGTTAATCGGAGTTGTGCAAATGTTTGTGTAACCTCTGTATGGGCTGGGCTGATTTGAAAGTAAATATTTTTGGGGAAATTTATAAGGGGAAAAAGCTGAATATAAGGGCAAAAGATGACAGCGTGTAATTCCTATAATATCGAAATTATAAAGTTTATCGTAAAAAGCAGTTAGTAACTTGTTCTTGTTTAATTTTAAGTCATTAGCATAATGATTATTCCATATGTCTTCAAGGTCAATTAATTTAAATAAGTGTCTAACTTGAGTAACCCAGTTATATTTTACTTATTATTTATTTTACTTGAATTAAGCACATTATGTATAAACATCAATTACAATGGGTTATACAGAAACTTTGAAATTTTATGTAGATATCTTTAGAATCACATAAAACATGAATAACTAGTTTTTTATCAGAATGTTTACTTATGTCTAATAATATTAGAAACAATTTGTAAATTTTTTGAGATTTACTGGGTTGTAAATTATTACTTTATTATATATTGTTATCCGATTTCTTGGGAATAAGGTTTGTAATTAAACTTCAAAACATTGTGTTATCAAAGCTTTCGGCCCCAAATTGGATGACTCTCTCTTCAGAGGTTTTTTTTTTATTAAATGTTTGTTGTGATTTTCTCCTTCATTTTTGTTATTATTTCTTTTTTATATGTTTATATTATAAATTTTTATGATAAAGAATTGTTTTGTTTTTCTTTTGTGATTTCATGAATCTCATGTGCAGGTTTCAATATCGATGGATAGGTTCGTGAATTGGGTTCAATACAATTTTATTTTAACTTGGGAACCTAAGGTATCAATGTAAATAAGATAAAAGTAATCTAAATTTGTCTGTATTAAGTATAAAACTGTAAAGACAAAAATATACTATTTTTAGTGATGACTCATTACTAGACAAACTACTTCAATTGATAACAATATTATTCTACAGGTACTTATTATAAATGATTACTAATTATTAAAAACTTGGAATCATGAAATTATCACATTTGGAAGGATGCTCTATTTACATAACAAAAATTTTAAAAGCAGATTTTTAAACATCTGGGAATACCCGCGAATAAAAAATATTCTCACTTACCGTAAAATAATTCATGTAATAATAACAAATAACTTAAATCTGGTAGGTAAATTACAGAAAAAATAAAATGAGATAATAGAAAATAACCGATTACATTTTCGTCTAGAAATATAACCAATAATAAAATACAAAATGAAAACGAAACCACATGTGACGAAACTGCAAAGTAAAAAATAAAATGTCATGTGTCATGTGTTATTAGGTTCTTTCGTTCGTCCCACACCCACTGGTGTAGGAATGAACTACACCAACGTACACTAAACCTTTCGTTTGGCCAGTGGGTCGATTCTCGACTTGTAGGAACCTTTTCCTATAGGAATTTGTGACACTTTCCTACATGTAGACAAATGTCATATATTTCCGATGTGTAGAAAAATGTCAAAAATTCCTATAGGAAAAAATTCCTACGAGTCGAGAATCGACCCCCTGGTGTAAAACCACTATACCTTCCTGTCGGCGATGTGGTGTTCACTAGTGGATATTTTCTCCACCAGGGGGTCAATTCTCGACTTGTAGGAACCTTTTCCTATAGGAATTTGTGACACTTTCCTATATGTAGGACAATGTCATAAATTTTCGATGTATATAAAAATGTCAAAAATTCCTATAGGAAAATATTTTTTCCTATAGGAATTTTTGACATCTTTCTATACATCTAAAATTTATGACATTTACCTACATATAGGAAAGTGTCACAAATTCCTATAGGAAAAGGTTCCTACAAGTCGAGAATCGACCCCCAGCAATTTAGCAGGAGTGAATTACACTCGACATGTGTATAAGGAATAAGGAGAAAGTAAACTAGGGTAAATAAAAAGGTGGTGTAACTGGTGTAATTTATACTGGTGGACACTGCACCAACAGCGAACGAAATGTGTTGTTGTCACGATTTGACATTTGAACTTGATTTCAACATCAATTAACTGGGATTGGTTATGTTTAATTCTCGGCAATAAATAAAAAAAATGCAAATGTAATGACAAGATTTAAAGGTTGAAAAATAAATATCCATTATTTAAATATAATAATATAAATAAATAGCCCGAAATAATTATGTAACGTGTAAAAATTGGGTTCTCGTTTAAATTTCCGAACACACTTAACACACCTTCTGACAAATTGACCTTTTTGTAGGCGAGTTCGGTCAGTCAGGGGCTGGAGCGGGACAAATTTTAGGGTGCTTTTAAATGACATTTATGCGTGTTAAACTGTCACTAATCGGACTAAACCGAACGCTAAAAGAGTCGTTTGGAGTTAAAAGTGTTAAAGGAGTTAAAGGAACGTGGCAAACCGAACGCAATGCCTGTTTCCGTTTAATGTCATTAGTCAATTACAATTTCCGGCGGGCAGTGTTGCCAGTGTGCTGCGATTGTGAGTTTATTACATTTCCAATAAATCTATATTCTATTACATTTTTACAAACCTCGAACGATTGATCACAGTTGCGATTGATCACAGCTTTATTGTATAAGCTGTGGATTGATAAACAATTGCCGCGTTTGAATATCCCAAGAATATCCACATCGGATGCATCTGAAATGTTGTGAAATTTTTATCACGTGATAGAGAATTAGATCTGAATGTAGATGTAATAAAAAACGCTCTAGACTTTATTGGTCACGTGATACAATGACAATGGGTCCAATGATTGAACGTTTACGTTGTCTGTAACGTACATTTAAAGGGGGTTATGATTGACAACGCGGGGTCTATTCTGTAACAATTCCACTATATTTAACGGCCTTTAAAAATATTTTCTTCTTTACGTCTGTCATTATTTAAACGGATCTTTAAAATACATTAGAGGACTATCTTAAATAAATCTGTTTGAATAATGACAGAAGTAAATTAACGAATACAAATATACTTTTAAAGGCCGCCAATATTTTTAAAGGCCCTTAAATATAAAGGAATTGTTACAGAATAGACCCCAACCTGTGTTATTTTTAACAGGTCTGTTATTTTATAAACACACAGAAATTACAACCTGTTCACAAATAACGTGCCTGTTAAAAATAATATTACTTGTCCATCATAACCAATCATAACCCCGAGAAATTACAACCTGTTCACAAATAACGTGTCTGTTAAAAATAACATTACTTGTCAATCATAACCCCATAAGCCGAGTTTTAACAGAAACGAGGCAAATTCGTATGATGGAAAACTTTTTCCAACACATATTACTGTTATTTTCCGCCTGCTGTTATGTTCTAATTTAACAATTTTCCATCATACGAACTTTCCTCGTTACTGTTAAAACTCGGCCTAAAGGCGGGTACAGATCTGAGCACGTACGCGTATGAGCATGCAGATGTGGACGAGCTTTCGAGGCGCGGCAAATTGTGCCGTGCGGCCTCGCCCCGATCCTTTTGTTGGCGGTACATCAAATGGAGGCAATGCGCAGTACGTGCTCAGTCTGGACGGGGAATTTGAACCGAATAGATTATACCGAGTTTTCAAGGTTTATTTTGCATAAAATGGAGTCAAGTAAAGGTATTGCTTCTCCTAGAAATATATAATCAGCGAGATATTTTATGGAGATCAAGACAAAATAATAAAACAGGCACTCAACTACCAAACCTCCATTTTTGTTTTAAATATACAAGTGTTCTGGGTGTACGGTTCCATGCTCGCGAATTCACTGGATCAGTAGCGAACAGTGCCTCGTGCGTCTACCATTCGTATGAACAAAATGCGCCGCACGAGGCATTCGGTTCGGCCTCGGCTTGCCTCATACGCGTACGTGCTCAGATCTGTACCCGCCTTAACATGTACGTTAAGGCGGGTACAGATCTGAGCACGCACGCGTATGAGGCAAGCCGAGGACGCATGAGCATGCAGATGTGGACGGGCTGCCGAGGCGCGGCAATTGCCTCGTTGTGTGCGCCGAACGACCTCGCCCCGATCCGATTGTTGGCGGTACATCAAAGGGAGGCAGTGCGCAGTACGTGCTCAGTCTGTACGGAGAATCTGTACCATGCAGCACCGTACAGATTATAGCGGGTTTTTAAGATTTATTTTGCATGAAGTGAGACCAGGAAAACGTTTTACTTCTCCTGGATTTAAATAATCAGCGTGATATCTTAAGAGAGCAAAGCGCTAGTTCTATTACACCATAAAAAAAGAAATCGTCCACCGATTCCATTCTTTTCTTTTTTCTTTAATATGTCGGATAAAATATTAAAACATGCACTCAACTCCGCGACATCATCCTTATCCTTTTTTAATTTTACGGATGTTCTGGGTATACGGTGCTCGCGAATTTACTGGATCAGTGGCGAACAGCGCCTCGTGCGTCCACCATTCGTGTATACAAACTGCATCGTACGAGGCATTCGGTTCGGCCTCGGCTTGCCTCATACGCGTACGTGCTCAGATCTGTACCCGCCTTTACAGATAACGTAAACGTTCAATCATAGGACCCAATGACAAATTAGAAGTTTATACTTTTTAAATTTTTGACTTTTGAGACTACAAATCAAGCTAAATTTGAAATCTAAACAAAAATCACTTTTAAGGCGGGTACAGATCTGAGCACGTACGCGTATGAGGCAAGCCGAGGCCGAACCGGATGCCTCCGTGCGGCGCATTTTGTACATACAGGCGGGTACAGATCTGAGCACGTACGCGTATGAGGCAAGCCGAGGCCGAACCGAATGCCTCGTGCGACGCATTTTGTATACACGAATGGTGGACGCACGAGGCGCTGTTCGTCACCGATCCAGTAAATTCGCGATCACGCAACCGTACACCCAGAACACTCGTATAATTGAAAAAAAAAAAATGGTGGTATGGTAGTTGAGTGCCTGTTTTATTATTTTGTCTTGCTCTCCATAAAATATCTCGCTGAATATATACATCCAGGAGAAGCAAAACCTTTTTCTGTCTCCACTTCATGCAATAAACCTTAAATACTCGCTATAATCTATTCGGTACAAATTCCCCGTCCAGACTGAGCACGTACGGCGCATTGACTCCCTTTGATGTACCGCCAACAAACGGATCGGGGCGAGGCCGCACGGTGCAATTTACCGCACTACTGATCCAGTGAATTCGCGAGCATGGAACCGTACAGCAAGAACACTTGTATAATTAAAACAAAAATGGTGGTTTGGTAGTTGAGTGCCTGTTTTATTATTTTGTCTTGATCTCCATAAAATATTTTGCTGATTATATACATCTAGGAGAAGCAAAACCTTTTCTTGACTCCATTTTATGCAAAATTAACCTTGAAAACTCGGTATAATCTATTCGGTTCAAATTCCCCGTCCAGACTGAGCACGTACTGCGCATTGCCTCCCTTTGATGTACCGCCAACAAAAGGATCGGGGCGAGGCCGCACGGCACAATTTGCCGCGCCTCGGAAGCTCGTCCACATCTGCATGCTCATGCGTCCTCGGCTTGCCTCATACGCGTACGTGCTCAGATCTGTACCCGCCTTTATATTCATGCTAAGGACAAATTGACAAGCTTGGCTTCCCGGAACACTACTTTCTGGCATGGAACGAACATCATGCACATTCACATCTCATTTCAAATCGAGATGTAAAAAATGTAATCTAGACAGATACATCTCGGATAAACAAACGCAGATGTAGATGTAGTAGATGTGTCCATATACATCATATTATCTAAGATAGACTCGCCCTTCACACTGTATACCCAATACACCTTCTGTCCGCATGTTATGCCAGACGGGGAAAGGGGAATCGTACGTCGCACATAGACGTAGTGTTTCGGGAGGTTTTAGAAATATTTTTTAGTAAAAATTATTTAATGGCCAAATAAATAACCTATGGGTCTTCGGAATCAAAGGTAAATTTAAAGAAAACATATTCAATTTATACAGGGCATTCAAAAAGTCATTTTATATATATATTTTTATAGATTAAAATAGTAGGTAGCTCAAAGTGAAACAACATTTTTGTTAGTATTTTATTATATATTGTTTTTTTTTTTAAATACATGAAGAGCAAATAAAAATATAGCGCCATTTATTATTATTTTTACATGGGTATTGTCAGAAATCCTTTTTTTCAGGTCGAAAAATGAATAATTATATTGCGGACTACCTTTTTTTAGGAAATAAAAAACTTATTAAAAACAGTAAACTAATTTTATTTCAGACACATAAATATACAAATAGGATCTTTCCATTTCATACCATTTGGGTTGC